AATCCGAAAATGAACCGCAGGGAAGAATGCCTCATTATCACGCGTGATATAGGGCAGTATATAAAACTGCTTTTCTGATACGAGGGGCACATCATACTTCCATGTGATTTCTGTGCGGTTGGTCTCTACGTGACATACTTAGTGGAAACCTCATAGAAAGCGGTGAGTGTGCAAAGCTGTGTTTAAAGTGATTGAAATCTTGGTTTGGAGTTTCTTTGTTTGGTTATGGAGGCGTCTGGCCGAGTGGATTGCTATCAACTTGACCTTTCCAGGCTCTGAAGAAGGCGAAATCCGCCGAAACGTCAGCTTAATCGTGAACAAAGAACAATAACACCTCGCGTTTGCTCAACAAAAATACGAATAAAAAGCGACATGCTATGAAACATGAGCCATTCACTCCAATTCTGACATTGAGGAGGCCTACTAGGCAATGTGTTCAAATTCTGGGAGTAACCGTTAGTGCTTGGTTTATAGATTAGAACGACAACGAAATCTTTGTAAGACCACTGCAACAATTTCCATAAGATGTAACCCCTACGCCATTTCCGAATTGTCTTGCCTAGCACAAAGCCATCAGTATGAGGTAATTCCTTATTTATGGCGAATGCTCCCATTATCCTTAAGCTACTCTACCTAGTAGCTTTCCACCGTTGGCTGTATTTACATGATATACTATCTACCCTTCGTTTCATCTTATCAATCCATCGTAGAAGCTGTGCTGCCTTGCAGTCAGTGTTAATTCTCTTTGGACTATCTCTCCATACTAATTTCGTTACTGGTCTATTGTCTATATGTTTGTATATACATATGTATGGGAGCGTGTGGCAGTGGTCGGAGGCGCCGTTCAATACGCATCGGATCAATTCCCGCGTCTCTGACACACCAAGCCTTCCATCCCACCGGGGTCGGCAAATCGGTATCAGACTTGTCTAGGAGGATAGCAGCACTGGCTCGATACATCGGTAGGCTACCGTGAGTTATTGTAAAAGCCAGACATGCATTCAATCACCTCCGGACGATGCTTAGTGAAGTCGAATGCATGGCGCATCCCTAAGGGATTGATCAGCCGAGAGCTTTATATATACAAGCACAATTTCATTTTAATTAGTCCTAGTAAGTTATGTAACGTAAGCAACAAAAGTACTGTACGACAGTTCAAAAACGACCAAGCATTCTTCATGGAACTTTTGAACTAACCAATGCACTCACTGCAATCGGAACCTCAGTTGCGCTTTGAAAGCGCGATTGTTCTCTCTGGAAACTCGTGTTATCCTATACCAAATGTTCCCGCTTTCCGTTTGTGCTCTCCAAATCATTCTCGTTGACGATGATTGTTAATAGCATCTCTGGAGAAAAAATTGACTGAGAGAAAGGTAAAGCAGGGGCTTCAATTGATGCAGTGGATACCATACGAACAGCTGTAAAGGGTAATCTCGGGTTCGAAGGGCACCTGAGGCTCCTAGTTTTGTACGCATCTCAGCATCCTTGCGGTTGTGTTTTACGTGATACCCTCCCATTAAAAAGGAAAAGGCAGCAAATAAAAGTTAAAGCACTATGATTTCTAAGTTTTTACATATCAATGAGTTAAACCAATTCCTGTCCTAATGTCTATTTCCCGACTCCGACGGGATGAGAAGTTTGGTTGCTCCAGAGCGGAGTCAGACTAGCACCATGTTCGTGATGACGGACATCACTACTACTGTGCTACTCGCCCCTTGTCTATTATATAATCCCCCTTATCACACATTGCAAACGAAACACTGGTTGTACATTGACGCAACAATGTTTTTATTTTCACTGAGAAATGTTCTCAATCTTCATAAGAGATTTACTACAGAAATAATGGCATACCCTTGTTGAAAAGTGGCACAAGCATACTGAACAACCTAGGTAACAATTCTGAGATTAATGATGTACCAATAAATAGTTCACGATGAAGTCCATTTTGGAGCACGCTTCTCTGTAAAGGCACTCATCCCTTCTTTACGGTCATTCTGGAAGAAGAATAATATTAAATTCTTTCGTTGTACTTGTTGAGATAAATGAAACACACTGTAGCAAATGTTGTGTAGAAGAGACGTTTTTCGTGACGGAGACCTTCGCTCAGTGTGGTTTCGTACGCAGCATTAACAGCTTCCTAAAATGCATCGAAATTATGGCCACGCAAACAATATTATGTTTAGGTGAGCAGAATGATGAATATCAAAACTAATGTTTGAAAAGGCCAAGAAGCATTTCCTTGTTCCGAAACTGTTTTAAACTACGTCATAACACAAACATTAGAAACAAAACGATGATAAGTCTTAAAAAAATAGAAAAAATCAAAGTCAGAAGCAGGAATCCGTGTAATGTGCCCATATAGTTGATGGATGGTAAACATGAGTTGTAACAGATAACTGGGAATGCGAATAAGGAGTTAGGAAACCTATGTAGTGAGTAGTAAATACTTCTCCACGTTTTCAAACGCTACTGCTCATAAAGAGTCCAAAAAAGAAAATTAAAGACTAATTTCAGCTTATTATTTACTGCCTACTCTTTTTAATGGCAGAGTATGTACTTAGAAATATAACTTCAATGACGCTGAGATATTTCCAAACTCCATCATTGAAGTTGTACTTCAAAATATATATCCTGCCATTAAAAAGAGTAGGAAGTATATAACAAGTTAAAATTGTGATCATAACTACGGCCTCAGCTTAAGTGGGTTCAATGTCCATTTGAGCTCCCCAGATCAATCCCACTAACGGGATTGCTGATGGCAAAAGATCGATAGAACTAGCTGAGAGACAGGCGAAACGAAGGACCCGCATGTGTGGTGGTGAACGCGTTACTCCCGGAAAGGATAGTAGCGCCCTCGTTCACCACCGCAGACACCTGCGGTTTTGAGTTTTGCAAATATCTCAGCATCATTGAAGTTAAAGACTAATTCTCAACGTTTTGCCAGATTATGATTAACATTCCAGAAAAAATTATGTGGACCACAATAATGGTGACCTACCTTGGCCATTCGCACAATAAGAGGTGATTGCTCGGCAATCTTCTCTGCAAGCTTTACCGCTTCTTCCACTAGATGTTCAGTTGGAAATACCTTAATAAAAACATATAACGGGGATCGTCAATTGTTTGTATGAAAAGTGAAAGCCGATATGAATGAGGTTCAACCTTTGATACTAAACCACATTCTTTTGCCTCTGAAGCGCTAACACGATTGCCTGTAAGGCAAACTTCCATCGCCATAGACTTTCCAGCAAAACGTGCCCAACGCTGCGTTCCCCCAGCACCTTGATAACAGGAAATTGAGTAGAGAATGATGAATGAAGTACTAGACATATACCAGGAATAGTGCCAATATTTATTTCAGGCTGTCCAAATTGCGCTTTGTCTCCAGCGTAAATAATATCACACATCAATGCCAATTCGCAACCACCGCCGAAGGCATATCTGATGTAATATACATATTAATCCTACTACTTCTAGTACTAATTGTGGCACTTCTTTTTGAAATCAAACAATTAGGAAGCGTTTTTAATAGATATTATTCATGCTCCCGCCAAGAAACTGTACACAAGAAGACTAAACGGACCCATTTACCGCTGCAATTATAGGCTTCGAAGTAGTAGACACGGCCGACCATTCTTCCAGAAATCGGCCCTGATACGTTTGCGCAAAATCACGGTTAACCATTTCCTTGATGTCCGCACCAGCTAAAGCATGCAAAAAGGTAAGTCGCAAAATACACTACAATTTTAATTTTTTATTTACTGCCTTTTTACAATTTTTCACGTCAGAGTATTATGTGTGATACAATGTGAGATATGTGCAAAACTCCGAACCGCAGATGTCTGCGGTGGGGAACGAATGCGCTACTACCTTTTCTGGGGACAGGCGAAACGAATGACTACCCCCCCGGAAAGGGTAATAGCGCGTTCATTCCCCACCGCAAACACCTGTGCTCCGGAGTTCTGCAAATATCTCATCATCATTATGGTTCTATCACACCACAATTATCAAAATGTTACACTCACAAACCGGAAAAAGCTTTTTGGTTCCCTGTGAGGATTATTGCACCGACAGACTCATCAGCATCGAGTTCACGCAATGACGTACACAACTAAACTAATTAGCTCGACTTAAGGTAAGCAAAGTGTTTCGGAAATACTGCAACCTTCTAACATGATTATGTTCTGACTACTGTGTTTGAAAAGTTTTTGCCACATATGGAACAGCTTTGAGTCAAACGATAGAAAAAAAGTGGGAGGAAGCATCAATTCAAAAGAACTACACATAATGCAGATTTACGAATGATTTAAAGTCTTTAGTGAAACCTTAAAAAACCGATTATACTAGAAATAGTCCAATTTTTTGGCCTAAGCTTTTATTATTCAACTACACCCCTTTTGATGATGGACCATATGACCATCAGAGAAAACTCAGGTTGCGCTAAATGCTGATTTTAGAAGAAAACAGACCCAAAACACGACATGAACTTCTTCGCTATATAAACGGTATACAAAATGTCTGAACTGGCTTCACCCAATTTCTCAAAACCATTCGTCATATTCTGACCATGCAGTGGTCTTACAAAAAACCAACAGAAGAAAGACACTCGCTCGTCATACATACAATTACAAGGCATCAATGATCAGAAGAAAATTCTGTCGTAACCCTGTGTATTTTGTCTTGCATTCATTTCACTTCTACGTATTCTGGAAATAATCTAATTCTTCCATAAAACGAAGTGGAAAGCTGTGGCATTTGCAGATTAACAGCAGTGAGAAAATGCACGTCGACAATCTGAAGACTGTATTATGACAATTGAGATTACATCCACTATACATGTAAAACAACCAGAAGAAAATTCAGAAACAAAGTGTGTCGTATTTTTGAGGATCAGGTGATTCTATAACATTAACGAAGCTCGGCCTAAGGCTACCGAAGGATGGACATGAAAACATCTAACAGTGATCGAACGTTTGTCCATGGAGCAAGAAGAAGGACGTTTCCCTATAAAACGTCGTCTTCCACGCGGCCTTTCTTACTTGATGCTGTTGGAAGTGGTTGAAGAAGAGAGGATTGAGGGTTGAATGCCATGAACAAGAATGAATGGAGTATTTACGGAAAAGGGTCGAATTGAACTGTGGTTGCTATAAACGATTCAAATAGGACCTGCGCTAAATCCGCTAACCTGCTGATATCATAAAAGAAGGTGCCGCAAAAATTTGAAACCAGAAGCGCTTACCTCGCTCATGAGCTGATTACACAAAGCATTGAAAGCCTTCGGCCGATTAAGCGTTATGAGGGCGACATTCTTCTTTGCTCCGACTCTGTCGACTTTGATCATTTCTGGTGCTGTAACTATGGTAGCAAATAAGGAAGAAGCTGTTAGAAATACTCGTGAAATAACGAAGTTTACCCGAGGCAAAGGCCGCCGCCTGCATGATGTTCAGTCGTATGACGGCGCCGCGACCAATCAGTGCCGACAATTTCAACATGGTGGCTCGATCCTGAACAAATCGAACCACATTCTGTTGGTCGAACACTGAGATAAGAGAGTACAATGATAAGTGTAAATCGATACACCACGATCAGTCATCCGTTCCACAGGCGTTTCTTCTTTTTTCCAGAAGTTTTGGATCTTACAGTGAAATTTTCACGTTTTGTTTATTGTTAGATTAGATATAAAAGAATAGTGACAAAAAAAAACTGCTAGAACTAGGTGTTGAACTGGTCCAGCCCGAAATAATGCTGAAAACCACGACTACTTTGACGCTTACAAAAGAAATAACGAATTCCGAAAAAGTGACGGGAACAATAACACAGGGTCAACTGTTCAGGTTACTCTGGATTAATAGTTGTTAGATTGTGAAGACCTATGAAGATAACATTGTTCTTATGTCAAAAAACCCCACTAGAAGCCGTCTAGACTTCCTTTGCAGTCTCATTTCTTTCGAAAATATTGGAGAAAAAAGTTTGATCTAGCTCATTTTGGTACACTGCAATGATGCCAACGTTCTGAAAACCATAATACCAACTGTATGCTCTTCTAGATGAGAAAGAATACCAGCAAAATTTGCCACTTAAACAACGGTTGGCTCACACAAAACAACAACGTCATACATGAACAGTAGTAAGAAGAAAAATCTGAAGGTTACCTGACTTACAACAAACCGTCAACAAGGGAGAAACAAGTATACCCAGGTTTCTCTTCGGAACCTTTATGTTCAAAAAATCCGCTTGACAACAATTTTTCCATAGTCAAAAATTTCATATGAATGTATTGGGATACTAAGTGAATCAGCACAAATCCACATTAAAAAGAGTGCAAACGGAATATAACCACGTAACTTAGGAAAGATCACTTCGAATATCTAATGTGTAAGGCTCTTTAAACACTTCAGTAGATGAAAATGAGACACATTGAGGGCGCGCGATGGGTCCTTCCACAGCACGTCCGATCGACTACGCAGCACTACTACTATTACCACTATCGTCTTGTATGAATGATGATAACAAACCATTTTATAAAAGCCAAAGGACCGACTTTCTATAAACCTCTGCATAAATAATCGACATATTTACTTACATGTCCTTATGAACATATATATCCTCCCAACGGTTCACCGCCTCATCGTGGTTGGGAGGTGATCCTGGGTGGCGGGCTGCGATTTACAGTGGCAGGAATCATCACCATGGCAGGGCCTCCCAAACTAAGGAGTCCGGCGTTTCCATCAGGAACCCCAGCTAGGAGTAAACTAATGACAGGATCCACCACCGTTCTGGTATCAAACTGGTCGCATGGTAGCAAATCTCGCTCTCATCCACAAGGGCGACTGCTTGTGGTGTTGACGACCCGGACCAGACTTTCGCCAGGCTGACCTTGGAACTATAGGGAACCACAACGGCTAAACCAACAAAACTCCGAAAAGTGGAGAATATGCTAAAGCCCGCACAACCAGTGAGGACGGGCCGTCCAAGTATTCAAGTATGAGTTTATGTAGACAAAACTTATGTTCTTATGAACCTATATGGGCAACTTATACCACTTCGAGTCAGCTCAACAAGGTCAGTTCATAAGAACATATAAATAAATGTACCGATCATTCTACCTAGATTAAAACCATGAATTAAGACATGTAGCATCGAAACAGAGATCACCTTATGTACAGACAACGACATAAAATCTATCCGTCGCATTACCAGTCGGGATTTTTATACAGAATAACGGATGTTTGGATGATTGGATGCGAGAAGTAGGGAAGTGGAAGCTCGCAAGAAAATAGCAATTGTGAAGAAACTGATGGAAGCGAAAACAGAGGAGAAATTTATTAAGCCATTAACATCCACATGACTACACCTAATTTGGTGTGGTGAGGTATGTAGTTTGCATGAAAATTCTCCATAAAAAGGTGTTTATGAATTGTTAGCTGTAGATAGTAACTTCAAGGGTTGGGTAGTGCAGTGATAGTGATACCACCATCACGAGCATGGTGCTCGTTCGATCTTGTTCCGAGCTCACCAAGCCTCTCATTCTTCAGTGGTGGGGGGAATTTGAAACCAGACTTTTCTCGTAACAGCTCAATCCCAGCAATTCAAGTGGGAATGTTCTAGGTCAGCCATCGCAGGACTGGAGGGAGACTTTCTATTAACCATTGGAATATGAGTGTGTCGTTTTCTTGTTCAGCAATCGCGAGGTTTTTAAACAACATACATTTACTTCCATAGAAAAACACAATACAATACAACATTAGTTGACGTTTCGGCAATATCGCCTTCTTCAGAGCCGCTTTTTCGTGACTTCCAATGAGGAAGTTTAGAACAGTTTCCTCTTGGAAGTCACGAAAAAGCGGCTCTGAAGAAGGTGATACTGCCGAAACGTCAGCTAGTGTTGTATTGTATTGTTTTTCTATGGAAGTAAATGTATGCTCTATAAAAACCTCACGATTGCTGTACAAGAAAACGACACTGGAGGGTGAATCAATTCGACCACCATTCAACGACATTCATAAAGAAAAGGTTAATCCTAAAGCAGGAACGATACCACATACAGAGTTCGAAACGTTCGTGGATTACGGATACGAGGAAACGAATCGAATGCAGGAAGCACTGGGATCAGCACACTAGATTTGAAAACGGGTCTTAAAAAAGAAACAGACAATGGCAAAGAATACACACTAACAACGGCCATTGGTAGAGACAAGTAGTGCACTAGTCCATACATCAAAAAATGCATTGACATCAATACATGCGGTTGCGCTTGCAATAAAATGAAACGAGTTCCTATCAAGTGTAGGCAGAAGACATGTTCTTGACACCTGATACTTGAATGACCCGTCCTCACTGGTTGAGCAGGCTCCAGCACAATCTCTATTTTTCGGAGAGTGGCTGCTTAAGCCATTGTGGTTCCCTGGAATCTCGAGGTCAGCCTGACCAAAGTGTGCTCCAGGTCATCACCACTACAGGCAGTCGCAGTCCATGTAGGTCAGAGATTTGCCACCATGCTACTTTGATGACAGTGTGGTGGATCCTAGTATTGGTTCGATCTTACCCAGGCTTCCTGATGGAAACGTCGGACTCGTTCTCAGCTTGGGAGACCCTGCCGGGGGGATGAACACCCCTGCTGTACATCGCGGCTCGACACCCAGGAATACCTCGCAGCCACGATGAGGCGGTAAACCGTTGGGAGGGAAGATATGTTCAGCTTCATCAAGGTACAACTACCAATGGTTCCCTTTCTGGTCAACTCACCTAGTACACATCCAGACTACTCGAGGGAAGCCCAGTGACTAGTGACCATCAAGAAGCAGGATTCTGGTTCGAGCCCTTCCCGGACGCTTTCCCACAGTCCACGTTCACAAGGACGGCGAAATTCTTAATTAGCAGCCGAAGCAAGGAAATAAATGTTCGAAGACCACTCTAGACAACGAATTCGAGAATTCGAATTGAATGCACGAAGTACTGCTTTCTGAGCAGTAGACGTAGTGACGGGTCGTACGAAACAAAATCGAATAGTTGTCGCAAATGCACCGTTTGCACTTAACGTGACGTTCGACCTCAACGACGGTTAAGGATTATTGCTTGCAGGAATATCCGAAGTTCCAGATTCTCCATTTGTGGCATTTTGTGTGGGCCAACTCAAACTAACGATATTCAGTGATCACATCGACCGTATCCTTTTGAAGTACTTCTCATGTACTGCTCTAGTGATTATTTCTCGAGTATACTTTAAAAAATCCGCTAAAATCCTGTAGTATAACAGAATTATCGTGGTATGACAGCACTTTGGCATCTGAAGCAAGGTGTAGTGCACTCTTTTTCGCCTACTGTGTTCGCACCACCTTAAACAATATTTGAGCGCCATACGAAAAAATATTTGAATCTGATCTCTTGACGATAGGCGATACCCCTCAGCTCGTTTCTCTTTCGGGTTTTGCACGATCCGTGATTAAATCTACTGTGCGGATCCTAGCACTTTTCGGGATTCGTTTCCTCACATCCACCGTCCACAATGGTGTTTGTGCATTGCCCATGTGGCTAAAGCGGTTGCTAGAGAGTTTTCCTTCCGTCGTGAGTGTCATTGAATCCCTGTCGAGTCCGTTCTCCCTACAGTCCTTAGATAACTGAATTAGAGCGTTTGCACATGGATTGAAGCGAACTTTTAGAGTGAACTTTTCCCAGACAAGTCTGGTACCAGTTTCGTAACCTCGAAGGGTCGACTGGATTGGTAAGTCGGGTGGGCGCTCGAACCGGTACCATCCTCGTGATGATCGGATCACAGCCAGTGGACTACGCGCACCTAACTTACTGACAATCTTTAAGGAATGTTTACTAAATAGGTTCGGAGTATGAAACTACTGTTGGCTGATGGTTGCTCTTCTTAAATCGCCTTTGAATGGTTGGCAGTTTATTCGTGAGTTTTGCCACTGTCTTGGAAGAATCCGAATCGCAATTCGGCGGACCTCTTCCGATCCAAGAAAGAGTCTGTCGTGAAGACAGATTTTGAGCTAGTGTCCGTGACATGTCGAAGATATGCTAGCATACTCTCATATGTCCGCGTTTTATTCTATTTCGTCAATCACTGCAATTTTTCTCTTTGACGTTATGTCCCTGTAGAATTGGTTTTAGTGAACGTGTGTAAGTGTATAGTCACTGTATCAGTAACAATATGCTTCTTTACAGATTATGTTGCGCAGGTACGGTCTTACTTGCCTGGAGGTGGAAGCGTGCGCTGCGTTGACGTCGTTACGGTGGTGTTCTTCGGCACCGGATTCGTCCAACATCTATCGGCCCCCGCATTATCGAAAACCGCATCAGTACTACAAACCACGGCATATGCTGCAGGAAGAGTTTCTGGTAAGTTGGTGCCATGAATAGGGGGAGAGAGAGAGAGAGAGCACGTAAGAGATACGCTGAATAGTTTGAATTTGATGGAATAAAATATCACTTCCGTATATTTGTGATTTAACACACAGGCGAGGATTCTAGTTTCTCAGTATCTGCTGATAATCGAATTAAAGCTGGCTTAGTTGTGAGTTTTATTCAGTAACTCTCTGTTTAGAGTTCTTTCATTGCACTTGAACGTAAATTTGAAGAGGGTCTGGACAAGAGTATCATTTCTGTTGGTCTTTGTCCTTCTAAATCGACAGTGATTTTCATCCTCTTAACATTCTGTGTTCTAAATGGGGTGTAAAGGACGATGCTACTGGTTTGACGAGGATATAGAGCCCTTCAGATGTTCGGATCCCATCTTTTTGAGGTAGGATTTTGTGTACTTACTCACTTACAGCGAAGCTTTTCTAGTTTTATGGAAGGACTATTGGGAAAATATCTTCATACTCTCTGAAATCGTATAAGTGATTGTTATTAAAACTGACGAAATATTAGCGCACTGGAAGGTCCTTCCAACTTTTGCAGCTTCGCCGTATCCGGAGCACTTTGGTCCTGAAGGTCTAATGGTGCCGCTGTTTTACTGAGCTTTAATAGCTCCGATCTACTTTGGTGTTTGTTTGTAGTTCTTTCAACTTCCTACAGGCATGTCAGATCTAATGTTTCACGAGAGAGGTGTTTCTTGTTGACTTTTAAGGTCTCACTTTTGCTAGCTAGCATTATCACTTCGTTTTTTGTAAAAGGAAGTTTGAACGAGAGCTATATCGCTTGGAACAAAACTTTCATTTACGATAATATGGTTAGTTTTATTGCACTTTCGTGCACTGAGAGACTTTTGATTCCAACATCGATAGAAAAACTTCTCGATTTACGAATTCGATTGAGTAGACCTCGTCGCAATGGCGTACTCAAATAGCTTATTATTATTAATCCATTACATTACCTTAGGACAGGCGAATGTGGGTGGTGGGAGGCGCCTTACAACGGACGTGCAATCGATCCACCCGCCTATGGCCTACCAAGCATTCCATCCCTCCGGGTTCGCCAAATTAGTACCAAACTTGTCTGGGAGGATAGCAGCACTGGCTCGATACATCGGTAGTCCACCGTGAGTCATCGTAAAGGCCAGATCTGCATTCAGTCACCTTCAGTGATGCTTGATGAAGTCGAATGTATGGCGCATCTCTAAGGGATTGCTCAACGACGAGAACGTCATCCTTTTTTTTTTATCCTATCCACCTCCTCAAATGTAAAACTTTATTGGTGGTTGCGAACGAAAAACTGGTCATTTTCGATTAACTCTTAGCCGAACTGGCCATTATTAACAGGTTTTCTTTCTGGACATCACTGGTACTTTACATACGTGAAGTTTTACAACCTGCTTCGTATTGTATGATGGTGTTGCTTTTTAGAAGAAGAAAGCAAAATATGTTTGCGAAAACTAGTCAGATTTACTAGTCGGTTTAGTATACCGCCCAGGTGAGGTGGGAGTTCAATCGGTTTTTCCTCACTGCAGAATGCTGGTGATGCGTCTGGCGCCGGTATACGTCTTTTCGATTACTTCAAAACTGCAGAACTTGTCAATCAGCTACCGACAATCCAAGAGAAAATCGAGTTTGTTAGTCCTTATGAACGCCCATGGACTCGTCCTGAGAAAACCTGGCGAAGGTTAGTATCTTTGTGAACCTCGAACTAATAATTATTTATACATAATTCCCACGACCAACTTTCTAAGAACCTTGGCATTGGCCAAGTAATTCTTTGTATTCTTGTTGAGCAACTTGTGGTACTGCAGTTTTTTTTTAGCCTTTTTTGGTACTGCATTAGGCCCGCATGGGGCACAGACATAACGGAGATTTTGAAATAGAAGTTACGATCTTCGCACAGGAGTCGAAAACACAAGCGTGTAAAATTCTCGAGGCGTTGTGAATTATTTCCAAGAATCCGAAAATGAACAGCAGGGAGAAATGCCCGATAATCACGCGTTATATCGGCCAGTATTAAACACTAATTTTAGTCTCGGCATTGGATTATAAATGCGTCGTCTGACGCTTGACGTTTGACATATGCGACGCTGATCAGCGGCTCTTCCTCAGTGGAAAGCACGTAAAAAAACGGCTCTGAAGAAGGTGATTCTGCCGAAACGTCACGATTGTGTTGTATGTCTATTAATGTATGGAAGTAAACGTAGGCTGCTTAACAACTTGCTGAGAAAGAAAACGACACACTGTTTTTAATGTGCGAGGCACATTACGCATCCAGGTGAACTCTGTGTGGTGGGTCTCCACGTGACATACTCAGTGGAGGACTCATAGAAAACGTTGAGTGTGCAAAGAAACTATTCTGTGTTCAATGTGGTTGAAATCTTGGTTTAGCATTTTTTCTGTTTGCTTATGGAGGTGATTGGCTGGTTGCATTGCGGTTAACTTGACCTTTGAGGACTCTGAAGAAGACGAAATCCGTCCGCCGAAATGCCAACTTATTCTTGAATAAGGAATAAAGTACCACTTTGTGTTTGCTCAACAAGGATGCGGAGAATTATTTATGCATATATATATTTATATATATACATATTATATGCATACTAATAATGTAGTTGCTACTCCTACTGCGTTTTCAGGGCGTGGCACCCATCGCTGATGTCCACTCGTAAGGCTTGGGCGCTTCCATTGGTTCCAAAATACTTCGATTGTTTGAAGTATTACCAATACATCACGAAGACCCGTCTTGTTGAATCTTCACTTGACAGTTATTACGCTGGTCTCGTTCCTCCCACTGCAAGATATGAGGTCCTCATACTTCCACGTCCATTGTTTTTTGCTATGTACGTGGTATTTCTAGAACGCTGTGCGAGAGAGTTTGTGCGCAATTTTGAGGTCAGATCGCTTTGATGAGGAAGACAAGCGAGTTTCTGCTATTCTATCCTCTCTTGTGGATGAAGCCATTTTTAGTGTGGCCCACAACGTTCCGCGCCTCGGTGACTATAGGGTACCTTTTTCAAAACCGTTTGTATGGAGTTCACGTATTTCTGTCAACTTGTATTTATTTTTTACTTGTCGAACAGGTTGCTTATGATGTCCAGAGCGAATCATTCTGGATCCGTTCAGGCTTTATGTTTTTATACGACACGAAACCTATCGGTAGTGACACCGTGGTAAGAAACATGAGCACTGCTACGAAGTTTACTGGTGATGATAGGTGAGGGCAATGTTATTTTGTAACGTTTTGCTACTTTTCGAAATCAATTTTATTGAAAATTGATGTTCTCTCGTAGAAGATATTTATAGACGCAAGTTGGGCGAACTAGCATTTGTTTCCCGTGATCGCCTCGCCGTCCAGTTGAGATCAAGACAACCCCTCGCTCCCTTGCACTCCTTAGAAAGTGAGGAAGCCTGCCGTCCATTGTTTCCGGAAGATGTCGACGTCAATAATGATGTCTTATTTTCCCCTAAGGTTGCTTTTATCCTAATCCAAACAGTGAACTCTACTTTTTTGCTGTTGGAAGAATTCTACAAACTACCTTTGTTCTTTCTATCTGAAGAAATTTTACTTATACTTGTGATGGGAGCAATTATTCAGGTAATGAATCTCTGGCCAGATGAAGATCCTTTGTGGCAGTGTCCTGGATACTTTGTCGAATCAGGTATGTCCAAGTTGTCATTTATTTTGAGGATCACAGCTTTTTTTAATGCGTTCATGTTGGAGTTCCTTAGAACACATTTTGGCTACCTTTTTTTTTCAGAGGAAACTCATATGGTTGGACGTTTTGGTGCTAAATCGTTGTCGCTGCTGGACCAAGAATGTAGTCACTGGGATGCTCCAGAAGAAGAGAGTAGGCAAATGTGGCATGAGTCAGCGAAAGCGCAAGCCGTAGCATCCTTGTTCACTACACTTTGTGCTCAGGCTCACACTGCTGGTACTTAGAACTGCTCATGCCATTCTTCGTCTTCTATTAGAATATGACCATGTAAAAATCTATACAGTCAGCGCATAATTATCTAGGCTTTACTCAATATACCGATGTAACGCGGCCATTTACCTCTCAAATTATGCTTTCGAACGGCATCGACTTCATCTTTGCTATTGGGCAACTCAATACTCTCGCCATAAACATTGAGTGCGATGGTGAGCCTGTAGTAATATCATTGGATTCTTATGACTTTGAGGTTGATCGAAACTGAGTAGGGCCTTCACATCAGAGTTCCCACTCAACAGCGAAGGTGTTATGAGTTTAGGCTCGCAAAGGGATTGTTCTAACTATCAATCATATGAACTTTCAGGTTTTGAAAACCCGAGGACAAACCTATGTTGTGTGGAGCCTCCTATAAAGCTGTATGATGACTATAGAGAAGGAAAATTCTATCATATCACACCTGAAGGAGAAAAGGCTGGGCTTAACTCGAAAGTTTTGTTGAGAATTCTGCAGATGTTATTACGGGACTAGCTACATGTTTCTTTCTTCTATTTCTTTTCTTGTCCCGTACATATTGAAGGTCTCCATCCTAAATGAAGGCAACGGGCACTTGATAAGCAAAAAGCTGTATTGTATATCTTCTATGCTTAAAACCTTCTATGTTTTTCTACCACTTTGTTTAATGTTGTTGTTACAATATAGGATAAATATGTCAGTTTTCAGCTTCGGTGTTTTCTTTAGCCGGTTGAATGGTTTTGCTTCTATGGCTATCTGGGTCTCATCTGCAGATCATTCCTGTTAAAAAAAATGCTTTAGGTTAATATAACGGTGAAAATGTGGCGAGGTACTAGAGCTCAGGGATAATGCATTCCTTCTCACCCCACATTCTTATTTCTTACTGGCCGTTATTTCTGGTTACAGGCACTGTTCTGTTCAATGAGTACTTCATTTATTTCATCAAAATCAGCTTTACTTGCAACTGGTTGCGTAATGTCGAGTTGGTTTTTGCAATTAATCTTGCACAGTGAATAGTAAGGAGAAAAAGAATGTGATGGTAGAGATCGACCATAGTTCACTTCAGCGATTCTGACCGAATTCATGTCTTCTTCATTGCTGATACACACATATTGGGTGTGAAGAATGGCCATTGGTTCGACAAACTAAGAAGGTAGTCATTCTAATAACGTCTCCCCGTATGCCTTTCTCAGTTAGATACTTGGGTGGCCCGTCTTCACTGGTTGTGCGGGCTCCAGCGTAATGTCCATTGTTTCGAAGTTTTGCTAGTTTATCCATTGTGGTTCCCTGGAGTCCCGAGGTCAATCAGGCTAAACAGAGGGAGATTTGCCACCATACGACTAGTATGATACGAGGGCGGTGGTGGATCCTGGTATTGGTTTACGCTTGGCTGGGCTTCACGATGGAAATGCCCGACTCCTTCTAAGCTTGGCAGACACCGCTGTGAGGATGGATCTCCTGCTGTACATGACAGCCCGACACCCTAAAAACACCTCCTAGCCACAATGAGGCGGTAAACCGTTAGGAGGCGTATGATAGTTGTTTTTAGCAAAGGGCTGTTGTTCTTTTCAATTTTGGAGAATGTGTTGGTGTATCCTTCTGTTCCTTTATGTAAGTTCTCAGTTTCGTTTTTAGAGAATGGCAAATGTACCGATCATATCATTCGGCCGTACACTTACTATCTCCTGACGCTGTTTTCTTCCTAGGTTTTGTCTAAGCGTGTTAAGCCTTATACCTAATTCCTCTGCTTATTCTTTCTTTCATCCATTTGAGTTTGCAGGTGATCTCATGGACGAAGGGCAGTGGGGAGATTGGAGCACATTTGCTAAATATGCGGATCGCTTTGATTCTTTGTTCCGTTCCTCTTTAAGCAAGCCAGAAGTTCATATGTTAGCAGGAAACCACGACCTTGGTTTTCACTATGCGTATGTGGACTTCTTATCACAGAAATTTTGTTTGACAAACGTTGGGTTATATCCTAAGGTTTGCTATTAAGTATATCACCATTTCGAGTACAGTGGTTTGAGGAGAGGTTCAACCGTAGCATAGTAGACACTGTAAGTATAAAAGGTAGGTTAAGATTGGTATGATACAAGTTAGTGTACACCGCAGGCAGAAAGTTATTCAGAGTGCAGAATATTGCTGCTTATGTTGGTAGGGAGTGATCAGTTTGATTTCAGAAGCAACTTTTAGGGCATCACTTTGTTCTTATAACCTCTATGGCTTTACATCGTGATGGATGTCGACTATGTCATGAGGCTGAAGTGGAGCTTGAGAATCTAGCGAAAGAGCTGGATTGCGCGAAACACGGCAATTGTTACCCTAATGTTTCAAGCCGATTTCAACCCTTTCGCAGACCAATATTGCTTCAACATTTTCCTTTGTTCAGGTGATCTTTCTTACAAAAAAATTCTTCGATGACCTCTGTTTACATTTAATTATATTGTTTATCACTATGGCCTGTTCTTATTTGTTGCATGAGGTAGCTTACCTCTCTAACATTGTCTGTTTAGTGGTTATTGACGAATATTCGAGTTTTAGATCGTATCCACGACTTTATTATGACTAAATTACGTGCGGAACCTCGAACTCAATATATCATTTACTTCGAAATTTCGGCATATCCTCATATTCATTACTTGTCGGGCTAAGTTGTAGTTGAGGGATCAAACATTAACGTTGATCACTGTCACAGTGGACACCAAAGTTACCTTAACAGTGGTTGAGTGTTTGTAAACTTTTTGGATCGCATAGAGTCTCACAATACAGGTATAAAATCCCCGCAGTATCGCTTTAAATTTGCTCCTAAATTTCTAAGTATGGATATGTGACGACTACTAGTAATGGTTCCGAAATCTTCAAAGTATCGCAGAAGTTCTCATCTTCATTCAGTCTTAAACTCTTAGACTCAACGATGACGATTGCTTGCGTGACGACGATTTTGACTACGAGGATCCGGCCAGAAATGAACTCTACCGACCTGGTTGGGAAGCGCTGTCCGAAGCGTCCACACAGTTTCTAATTCAGAAGTTTGAACCCCGTGCTGTCTTTAACGGGCATACTCATAGAGGATGCAAGAAGAGGTTTCTTAATAGTCTTTCAGGATCTTCCCAAGATCTTAAATTGTGAAATGTTATAATACTTACCATAATTAACTAGGTGGGTCCAACCAGTAGAATTTTGGGAGTATACAGTGAACTCGTTTTCATGGCGCAATGGCGATCGTCCAACTTTTCTCTTGGCGACAATATCTGAACACGATGTAGGTTTTTACTTCAGTATCACTTTTGGTTATTACTCTTGGACCACTTTGAATTAGTATATTTTCAACAGGTTCTGGTAGGAATGTGTCACTTACCAAACGAATCTACAGTGCTTTATGTTTATTCTGCCACTGGATTGATTATGCTTTTATGGCTTTTGTACTCCACATGCTTGAAGCGGTCCTTACAAATGTTCAGGGTGTATCTGTTTCGCGCGTACAGAGGTATACACGCAAAGACTTTTTGATTTGTAATGAAAATGACACTGTACACTAAATGGGGTAATATATTACCGAAGGTTTTCGTTGTAGTTGTCTAAATTTTGTAATTGTTTTGTTCTTACGAAGTGTCCTCGGTAAGATGACAAGAGTATGTGTAGTATTGGTTTTCGATGGCTAACCGTACGGTGACTGTGTCTTCTTTAGAGCATGGAGGATTGATCAAAGGCGGTACGTGCTAACACGCTCGTGACAGATCATCGAGAACGGTTCGTAAGAATAAAATCATCCGATTATTAGTATCGAAGTTAATTAAAAGTTGGTCTTTCGAATTATTCTTTCTGTAAATGTTGAACTATTGTCTTACTTACTAGTGTAAAATAGCTCATCCTCACACTTTGTACATTGATTTGTCACGCTTATGGGAAAAGGCTCGCACATTATCTTGATTTTTCAAAATGATACGTGTAAGTCGACAAAAACGTACAATAACATAGCAGAGACAAAGATAAAAGCTTGGATTCTTGTTCCAACTACTTTGTTGCAGTGTTAACCTTTTTATCTACTGCCTACTACAATTTTCATATTTTCAGGGTGTTATGCGAAATAAACCGTAATGATGCTAAGATATTTGCAAAACTCTGGACGGTAGGTGTCTGCGATGGGATCGAACACCTTATTATTCTTTTCAAAGGTTAACGCATTCACCTCAACACCATGTGCGCCCTTCGTTTCAGTTTTCTTTTAGCTACTTTTCTATTTACCAGTGCCATATTAATCAGCCGTCAACAGGAATTATCTGGGCAGCACAAATCGGTATTGAATCCAGTTAAGTTGAGGCTGCGGTTGATATCACAATGCTACCTTTTTTATTTACCGCCTACTACAATTTTCACGGCAAGGTATTATGCGAAATCAACCACAATGACTTTTTTTCTATCCAACACTTCATACTTCCCTATAAAGTGACTGCACACTTTTCTAGTAAGACGGGCCACGAAGAATATGTTAACAATGAGACAGTATACAGTTTGAAATAAAATGTCTATTGAAAACTCTCCTTCGTGTGCAAATCCTTTAAGATTTCGTCAAGATCGTCACCTTCAAGTTTATTTTCCAGTGACGAAATGAATGCGTTGGCCGCCCCAGCTGTTTTGGGACACAGATTGACTATTTAAACCACTTCAAACTTGTGCAGAGGTTTCTGAGAGAATGTGGCGCGTACAGCTTTAATTGTTTCATGGCTTTCGAACCGAGGTAAACGGCGTGCGCAGTTGAGAGTCTTAATGAAGACTGCTCGTGTCTACAATTTCATCTCTTGCTTCATTTTGCTGTCGTCGGTGCTCCAGTAACAAGCAAACTTCCGACGTTAATAGTTCGTCGCATTTCCGTGACTGAAACTGTTTAGGAAATCGCATTTCAGTGGTATCCTCGTCAACCGTCTCATATTTGCTTTACCGCGGAAGACATTTCTTGACACTTCAAACTTGGGTGATTGAACGTTATTGGACGCACCAACCTCCGGAAAGGATAACAGCGTGTTCTACCCCCACCATAAGCACCTACCGTCCAGAATTTTCCAAATATTTGTGTTGTCAAAATTAAGCCTAAAAGTCGAACTCTCGTTTACAGTTTATTTCCACATATCGTCTTGTATTGCTCAATGTCGGATTTGCAAGCGGTTTCTTTTATGATCTAGTTGAACAATCACGACCACTACAAGTAAAGCTAAAACTATAATCAGAGAGTGATAACAGATTGTTCGAAGTGAAATTTAGCATTTACATGAAGACGCGACTCTATAGGAGTTATAAGAATATCACATTATCTCTCAGTTATTTCATTGCTTTCAGTGAAAAATGATGAAATCTGCGAGTGCTTGCCTACCGGGTAAAAGTCCCATTCTTTCTATCACGATGGAGTCCTGATTTTTGGAGCCTGGGACGTGTACTTTTCTCGCTTTTTTTCGCTTTAAAGCTCTTTTGAACAAGAAAGCAAGTGAACAAGTTTCGTTTCATGTAATGTTTACGTTTGGAGGTGGCGCGGTTTCGTTGGAATTTGTAAAAACTTGAGTCTGATATTCAATATTTCAAAAGTTTTAATTCCAAATATTCTAAAGTTTGGATGGATGCCGTATAAAGTTCTTACATACGAATAAGCTGATAGAACATTCGTTTGATCTACAATCTGCAGACTTGTGGGCTCCTGAAATACTCTAGTGATCGAGAAGTTGTCAATTATCGAAAAACCGGCTTCGTCATGAAAGGCTGAAAGAATATCGTAGAAGAGTGGATATCTCGGATGTGGTTATTTTTATCTGAAGAAGGAAGAATCTGGAACTTATGAAGGCTTAAAAAGCTCGATAAAGGATGAAGCTGTCGGAGTTCATCAATTTCTGAGAGATGCGCCATGCATTCGACTTCATAAAGTATCGTTTGAAGGCTATTGAATGCATATTTGGCCTTTACAATGACTCGCGGTGGCCTGTCGATGTATCGAGCCAGTGCTGGTATCCTCCCAGACAAGTTTGGTAGCAAATTGCCGGCTCCGGAGGGATGGAAGGCTTGGTGGATCATTGGCGCGGTGATCGATTCCACCTGTGTCGCAGTGGCGCTTCCAACCGCTCGAAAAAGCGCGATAAATTGTGCTAAATAGCTTCACTGATGAGCAACAGCTGAGACCAAGTGTTCACTAAGCGTAATTAAAAATGAGGAATATCTAATAGTCAGTTTATTTTGGCTCTGACATCGGAACCTTGTCCACAATGAATCAAAAAATCCTAGTCCTGCTACCCTCGGAGAAATCAACAGAGTATTACTTGGGGACCATAACTGATGGTAAGGTATCAACGTCTAAGAGAGTTGCTAAAGTTAGTAGTAACTAATATTGTATAAATACTGTTGTCACGAGATCCCGATTGCTTAGAAGTACCTACAGAGCATCTGGTAATGGGAAAGAAAAGGATCAAGTATAGCTTATTGGATTTAGTCACAGATTGGAGCACGTTTTGATCAGATAATCCGATAAGTGAAAGAGTAAACATTAGGCGTTGTAGTGATATATATATATATATATAAGGAACACGCAAAGTGTGCCTACTTTATTTCTTGTATCAGATATCATATTCGTTCCCAATGGCTGGAGAAATTGGTACCTTTTTCCACTGTAAATTAGGCCCTTTCATTTGTGGTGATGAACATTTTTCAATATACCGAAGTAAACACAGACACAAAGAATAGTGATTTCTTCTGCGATTCATATTTAAAACATTAGTTCTAAACCATGCTATGAAGATCAACGAGTAAGCAAAACCTTTTGTTTATGTAGGGAACGTGTATGAGGTATTCACGACTAAAAACACTTTTGGAGTCATCAACGCAACAGAGCCCTTAAGAGGGGAGGTGCGATGTTGCTCACCACCGAAATACCATTGTTCCTGTTCAGTTGACTCCTCCGTTCTAGTCAATCGTTAGAAATTTACCAAGTATTCTGAAAGCTGTTGACTTTTCCAACCTTTCATTTACACAACTCATGATAAACCTTACTAATCATTTTTCTCCATTATGCTAAAAGTCCCACGTGTAAAAACTGCAAACCGCATGGTTTCTGGCAGGATCATCTATAGCGGCTTCATTGTTGAAGATTTCCTCGGAAAGTTGTTGAAGTGCTTGAAAAAGCAACTGAGAAACACGAAGTTTTGTATGCAATGATTAGATGTGCTGACAAGCGTTGACATAGCTCGCAGCCATGTCTATGAAACATTGTGTACAAAATTGTGCAATTTGCCCTAGAGATACAGACATGGATTGAGGAAGTTCGTGCACAATATTGGAGAAACTGGTACACCACATTGTGCTCGTATAAAAGTGCGTTTTAATGCGACACCGAAGTCTCGACATAAAGCTCACTAGGTGCGCATAGGACAAAAAGCAGGACAGTGGAGTCCTTGAAAGTAAAACTGCTTTTTACGACCTACGATTTTTCTCACAAGAGTAAAAAAACATTGAGTAGAGAAACTAGAGACGTTGTGGTCTAGTTTTAGAGAACCTAATGTGACCGCAAAAGTTGGCCATTGCCAGACTTGGTAGCCAAATCTGGCTTAGATGTTTCAGTGGTTATCATGTGTGAAAAGTACGCAGTTGAACTGCCTCCGTAAAAAATGGCTAGGTGTTTACAAAGTTTTCTGCCACAGTTGGATCTTTTCATTTATTGAGGTTGTGGGACCGCTTCACCGAATGAGGCTATATAACAGTATACTTCTTTCTGTTACCTGAAGAAAACGAGGACCAAGAAAACGCTAAGCATTGTGAAGCAAACATGTTCACGGCGAACGTTGTGTCACCACACCAACAGCAGTTCGTGAGAACACAGTAACTTGTTTGTTAATACTGAGGTTGGGTCGATTTTTGCAGTAATCTACTGCAACGTCTTCGATCTTAGCGAAGTCATTAGAGCAAAGAAGTATTGTCGGGATCTACAATCGACAGAATAGGCCAAGAACTACACCGTCTGATATCCAACATTTTAGAGAATCAATGCCATAAAAAGTTGAGAAGATTGTAATCTCTATCTATTCGAGCATAGCTACCGGCACTGCCGGGGTCCTCTTTGTTGACAGCACCTAGATAGCTGCTAGGTCGTTCGGAAATAAACAAGCATTTCAAAATATTTCTTTTTGAATGTGTTTTTACCAACAAAATATTCCTTACAGCTTTTAAAATATTATGTATTACTAGAAAACTGATTTTATGCTCTTTCTAACCATGTTTTTATATTTCGTCAAAATTAAAATCCTTTCTTAGCAACTCCCAAGACCAACTTTCTGTTAACCTCGGTAAAAAAACACATTCAAAAAGAAATATTGATTGGTAAATCGATGTTTTTCTTCAATAAGCAGACACAAGGCTGTTATTATAGAATTTATTAGGATACAAAGCTGACGTTGTTTCGGCGGTTTCGCCTTCAGAGCCTAGAAAGGTCAAATTGAGATGCGATCTATCCAGCCAAACACCTTCAAAACCCAAGCAGATAAAACTTAACAAAGAAATTTGTATTCGCATAAGAAACAGCTTCATTTAAACACCCACCGTTTAGTCATTGCAAGTACTCCAGTTAGTTGGTGGAGAGCAGCCACACAGAATAACACATGGGCGAGGACTGTGCACGGGTCAGGCCATTGAATCAGCTTGAGGTATGGCGCCAGGTCGCGCGTGATCACAAATCACTTCTCCTTTCTATTCATTTTTGAATTCTAAATGGAGTTCATCCAAAACTCTTCAAGAGTTTTACGGGCTGATGTTTTCGATTCCCGCGTGAGGATAGTGACTCCTACTTCAAAATCTCCGCTGTGTTCCTGCATCGTATGCGCGCTTAGTGGAGTGTTTAGCTTTAATTTAGATTTACCGACTAGGTGTTCTTTTATGCGGACGCAGAGCGGTCTACCCGTTTCGCCAACGTATTCGTTCCCGCACGCTTTACAAGGGATCAAATATACTGTACCCGAACTCATGCAATCACCGTCTCTACCGTTAGTGCAAATTATGCAGTTTTTCGTCATACATAGGCGGCCATATAGGCGGTTGCGAACTAGCTGGCGTCTTAGAGTGTCCGGTTGTATTTCTATCACTCTTACGAAATTCTCTAGACCGGCCCTTATTAAGCAACGTTTTATAGCTGCACTTATTTCGTTCTGAAGAAGGCGAAACCGCCGAAACGTCAGGTATTGTATCCTAATAAATTCTATAATAACAACCTCGTGTCTACTTATTGAAGGAAAACATCGAATTATCAATCAATGTCGAGGTTAATAGAAAGTTGGTCTTGGGAACTGCAACGTGAAATGTCATCAGAATGTTTCCGGCTTGTAAAAGAAGTCCTGTGACTAAGACAGAAAATTGTCTTAGCTAGACAAACGATATTCTTTCTCCGCCACTGCCTGAAACACCGAGTCGTGCCGAACTTCATCAAACGAAAATGACTACACGATGTATGCGGCCTACCAAGGGACAGCCAACAAGTACTGGACATCGAAACGCGACTACTACGCGCCGCTCTTCGATGCAAACAGGACACCATCTACGCACATTTGAAGAAGTGCAAGTCGAAGGAATCTTATTGTGTTCGGTATTTGGAGCATTCCCTTTGGAGGAGATTACTGGGTCTGTCAATTTTGATTTACGATTCTATTAGGTCGAATGCTAAAGTAACCTAAAGCAGAAAGTTTCAAAATTTACTAGATCATTCGCAAAAATCAGCTTCAATGAAACCAAGCAAAATCGTTTACGAAAGCGATAGCACTGAAAATGTGGTCGATAACGTGCCTGAAAAGTTAAGGCTAACCGTGTTAGGAGGCATAACTATCTCCGATGACGCGCTCTCGCTATTAGAATTGGGTCCAAGTTTCTCACTAGCGCAATCCGTTTCTAAAGAAACTTTGCACGAGCTCCAAGATCGACTCCGCAGCAATGTTAAAATTCAGATACGAATTAAAAAGGAACGATAAGTAGGGGCACTACCACCACCTCCACTTCCTCGATTATTCTTTAGACAGCAAGACCCAAACG